TTTATTTTGGGGACAGAGACAGAGCATGAACGGGGGAGGGGCAGAGAGAGAGGGAGACACAGAATCGGAAACAGGCTCCAGGCTCTGAGCCATCAGCCCAGAGCCCGACGCGGGGCTCGAACTCACGGACCACGAGATCGTGACCTGGCTGAAGTCGGACGCTTAACCGACTGCGCCACCCAGGCGCCCCTCTAATGACATTTTTATTTTAGAAAGTTAGTTGTGTTTATCTCTTTTCTTTTAGAAGGGGTTAATTATAATTATTTACAAAAAAAAAGTTGTATTTTAAAATCTATTGAAGTGTTACCTATGAACAGAAGAAAAAGGGTCAGATGCTTAAATAAATCTTTATTGTTTGTGCATTATAGAAATTAAACAGTTTTCTGATAACTTTAGTAAATTATATGGTACTCAAAATCGTCATCTTATTATTGTAGCGCTGATGTTGGTACAGCTCCCAGTAGTGTTGACACTAACATGGATGGTTTCTGCTTTGACATTTTATGATGTGAGGACACAAGTATGGAAGAATGATTTTGGAGTTAATGCCAAGCCATTCAAATTTATTGCTTTTTTATTAGCAAATACATGCTTATCAGGATATGTTGGCTATGATAAAATCCCTCAACATTTCAATGGTTAATAAAATTGGGTCATTAATCCAAGATACATGCATATGTTTCATCATGGAAATAAATATATTAAATTCAAAAAATCATAAATGTTACAGTGAACAATTACAGTATACAAGTGAAATTATATTGATTTTATGCAATAAATGAGAAATTCAAAAATCTTTGGAGATCAAGTTGAGGATTTAATAACTCATTACATCTAATTTATTTTGTTCTACTTAGTGTAAACTTGGAAGAAATATGTAAATAGAAAACCTAGCATGTAAAAGTGTAATCAAATCATTTATGAAAGTCAACTCTCTATAATACTGATCAGACATAAAATCTATTGACAAAGCACAATCATTAATACTGTCTTAGGGACTGATGAAGTTAGGATTTAAGATAGATTCCAAATGAAAAGAAGAAAACGAGTCTCTTACATGGGAGGAAAAATAATTTTCCCTTGACCCTTCTAGATTCTTGGCTGAGATTCCCCCCCCCCCAACCTGCCCTGTAATATAAAGACCGGAGGAAAAAATATTGATTGTGTATGTTAAGTATAGTAGCCCCCCAAAGATTTGAGACTCAAAAGAAAGCCTAAAGATGAGACTTCTATACCATTCTGAGCTAAGGAAAAGAATAGGAGTCTAGGGCTTTCAAGAGGGAAGGGGGCCAAGATGGGGAAGAGGTAATTCTTTGCAAAGGTGAGAGGAGGAAATACTTGTTACACAAAGGTTGCCCTGTCATGCAGATAAAACTTTCAATTGAAAAAGTTATCTATTTCCCTGCAATAGCTCTCTTCCTGGTACAGGCCCCTTTTCTAATGTAAATTTCCTTTCTAAAGGTATGTTTTCCTTTACAAAAGGGTGACTTCTACTCTGTTTTTAGAGCTTCTCCTCTCCTGCAGTTTCTCAAAATAATTGGTGTGCCAAAGAAGTATATTTTCCAGTGGCATATTCTGCTAACCTTCACTTCATAACAGTGTCTGTAAAATTCTGTGAAAAAATAGAATTCACCTGAGTAAATTTTATCAACGTTTATTTATTTTTGGGACAGAGAGAGACAGAGCATGAACGGGGGAGGGGCAGAGAGAGAGGGAGACACAGAATCGGAAACAGGCTCCAGGCTCTGAGCTGTCAGCCCAGAACCTGACGCGGGGCTCGAACTCACGGACCGCAAGATCTGCAAGATCGTGACCTGGCTGAAGTCGGATGCTCAACCGACTGCGCCACCCAGGCGCCCCGACACCTGAGTAAATTTTAAAGCTCTTATCAGTTTTATTCAGCAATTCATGAATTGGGCAGCATCCAATCTAGCAGATAGAAAAAAGCTCTGAAGAGCTGTACAAGTCAAGAGATTTTATAGGCAGAAGGAAGCAAGAACAATGGAGTTGTGCTTAGGCAATGGGGGCGGGGGACAGAATATCCCATCCCAAACTGTGCCACTTTGGCATGGGGATTGTTTTGAGCTGAAAGCAAGTGAGACCCAGCAGACAAGAAAAGCTTTTTACCTCACCCTTGACTGTCTACACGAATTTACATAAAAGTTTGTACCAGGAAGGGAGCTAATTACCAGAGATAACTTTTCCTATCAGAAAGACTTAACCACATGGCATGACAAATGACGTTTTACCAAATATTTGCTCTTTTCATAGTCCTGTGAATTTTCTCCCTCCCCTTGGAAGACCCAGACCCCTAACCCCTCTCCTTAGCCTCAACTGCCTGACTGCCTCTCAGTCTTCCTGTCTTTGTGGGGCTCCCATAGGTATGTAATTAAATCTGTTTTTTTCCCCCCTCTTCATCTGTCTGTCAATTTGATTATTGGATTAACAAAAATACCTAGAAGGTTAGGAGGGAAAAGTTTTCAGTTCCTACAGCACAAAAGCAGATTGGTTATTGCAAAGTTACTTTGTCTAGGAGGGATGGTAGGGATCTTTCAGGCAGATTACCTAGCTAATGCTGCTCAGGCATTTCTGAGGGACTGCTTTCAGATCCCCTTTCTGGGAGAGCTGAAATCATAATGAAGTTAAATCTCACTTTTGGGGACATGGAGTTTAGCATATAACTGACTCCATTTGGGGCTTGTTGTCTTTAATATTGCAAAATATTCATTTCATTCTTCATCCTCAACATTTTACTGAGGGCCGATTCTCTGCTGGACACTATGGAATACTGAAATGAATACCACACGGTCTCCTTCCTTACGAAGTTCTCAGTTTAATGTTTCCCTGATAATTTTTCTTAGACTTTCGGTAGCATTTAATAGAAGTGATGATTTCCTTCTGGAATCCCGTATTTGTTTTGGATGCAAGAAAGTATTCCAGCTTCTGCATGTCTCTGTCTTTGTTTAGACAGGCAGCTCAGAGACAGACACCACTGGGATTTCAACTTCATGGATCGTCATCTCATTTGAGTGCTTACATATGCTTTAGGTGGGCTACTCCTGCTAAGGAGTAGTGTTCCATTAAAATTAGATATTATTTAACTCTATAATAATTGCAGCCTAGTGAGGAATCATAGGAATAATGTAGATGCAGATGGGAAATGTGTGACAATCAAACAGAATGGATGGTGTTTGACTTCTGAACAAAGGAGCTTTATGCATGCAGTATAATTTCTTCCACCAGCTTCCTCTGGCCCAAAGCCAAGGCCAACTTAATCTCTCTAAAACTCTGCTCTTTGCTTCCATCCCCACTAGGGTTCCCTTTCTCACTTCTTTTTTCTCATTCATCTGTGCTACCTTCAAGCTTTGAGCTTATAGAATTATCTTGAGATTCCTTTCCACCTTTTCTTTTTCCCACTTTTCAGTGGTTACAGGACTGCAAAACATCTACAGAGTTGAGTACTAGAGGTGGCATTCTCTGACAAATACTTATCGTGGATGGCATTCTATGGTCACTAAATGAGTTAGACTTGAACATTTAAATCCCCACTAGGAAGCACTCCTGCCCAAACCGTATTATATTAAACTTCATTAAAGTGGTTTTGCTGGTGGTAGACATGAATATGAAGACCTTGAATTAAAATATTTCAAGAAATATGACAGTTAAAAATATAATCTTGAATGTGATAAATTCTATACATATGAATATAGATATGCCTTTAAATGTATAAAATATTAAATAGATATTTGCTACAACAGATATACTACTACAAGTTTATATAATCAGAGAAGCCAGAATTTTTGGATATTCTCTGGAAAAATAGGTGATAAATTGTGTTATATTTGGGGGTTTCTATATTCAGGTATATGTTGTGATAGGCATTCACTAAGCATTGGGTGACTAATGATCTGTTAGATGCTTTATTGTATTCATACATTTCCTGGATATTTTTCAGTTTTATAATGTTTTTTTTTAAGTTTATTTATTTTGAGAGAAAGAGAGAGAGAAAACACAAGTGGGGGAGGGGCAGAGAAAGAGAGGAAGAAAGAAACAATCCCAAGGAGGCTCCTTGCTGTTAGCATGGGGGGCTCAAACTCATGAACTGTGATATCATGGCCTGAGCCGAAACCAAGAGCCAGACGCTTAACCAACTGAGCCAGCCAGGCACCCCTCAATTTTATAATGTCATACAGCAATAAAATGGTTAGTGTCTTGGCAATAGGAGTCAAGTCATATAACTCTGTGTTCTGTTACTTTTTAACGATAGATGTGGCTGATTATAGGCAAGTGAAATTCTTAAGATTATAGAGTTTAGTAAGTTCTTTGTCATTATTAATTCTCTAAAGAAAGCATCATATGCACGTTTCATTGTTAAGGGAACTGTTAAGACGATACAAATTTTAAATTTGAAAATTAAAATTCAATACACATTAAACTATGACATTGAAATAATTGATGTTCAAATGCAAATGAAATACAAACCATTGAGTATTCTATCATAATAATTTGGACTTTTATTTTATTTTAGCGCTCAAGGAGCATGTATTTCTCATGTGCTGCCAGAATTTCTGCTTGAACCAGAAGATTATAAAAAGTGGCTTGAAATTACAGTAAGGGAATACAATTTCTAGAACAATCTACACAGTTATTGAATTGACTGATTTCTGGTCTTTGTTAGAAGATTTCATTTTAAAATCTTGGTATTTTTATTTATGAAATGTCTTATGGACTCTGCTTCTCTGCAAAGCCTATGTGTGTGTGTATAAATATTAATATAAATATTAAGAACAAACATTTAAATATATGTGTATACATATACACACACAGACATGTTTTTCTGTCTGTCTAAAAGTTTTTATGGAGTTCCTGTTGTCAGAGAACAAGAATATCATGTCCCCTTCAAGGTCCTTCTAGCTAGACTGAGAATTAAATTGTCATGAGACAGATTAATAGGAGAAAATAAAATTTACTAGCAGACATAAGGGGAATCCACATAGATATGGAAATTCCAAAGAGAGGCAAAATGAGGTATAAAAGTCATCCTGAACTAAGGAGAAAGGGGGTAGGGGTCTGGGACTTTAGAGAAAAGTAATGTACTTCACAATGTGATAAGAAGAGTAGATGTTTGGTAATTAGGTGTTTGCCCTGCCAGACACATGGGCCACTCATATAAAAATTTATCTCTGCTAACAACCTTATTTTGATAGAGATACCCCCCCCCACCACCACCACCACATACAGACTCTTCTGTGAGTTAAGGGAGGGGAAAAATTTCTCTTGAACCCACAGGACCTGGGTTTTGGAGGGACCTGTTCCAAACCCCTTCAAACTCGATCTTTGTGCCAAAGTGACCCATCTTGGGGCAGCCTGCCCTCGGACCCTACACTGTGCAGAAATGATTACATGGCTTTCTTAAATATATAATTGCTTCTTTTAGTGGATCTAATAATGGAGAATAGTTTATTCTTTTGTAAATGATTTTTTAAAGGAAATTTTTAGAATATATATCTTCTAAGGAAATACTGGTTGAATTTCCCTACCACTTGCCATTTCCCTTCATTTCCCTTCTTCATTTAAAGGGGAGAATAGGCAGAAATTAAGCAAAATATGCCTAGTTGTTTTCAAAGTACACAGTTCATTTTATGGAAACCTGCTGAGAAGGGGAATTGCTTGGAGAAGCCTACAGGCTTTGAGGCGACTCTCCTCTCACCACATGACGTGATCAGGAGAACCAGGGGCCTGTCCTTTGACACTGGTGAGTTCCGGTGGCTTAGCCAAAGACCATGTTCCTTTTTGGGGCTCAGAGCTCAGAGTAACTTCGCATTTCATTCTGCCACTTCTGCCACAGAATGAGCTAATAGATACGGTGAATGGATAAATCTCTGACCTCAGTAAGGGGCTGTGTGTTCCAGAAAGTTACCTCTGTTGATAGTTTCTTTTATTGGTACATGGAGAATTAGAGATCTTGATGAATGTGTAAATAGAACATGCAAAAGTTTGTAAAAAGAAAAAAAAAACCCTTATATGCTACGTGGTTAAAACTTTGGACTTATATTTGCCTTACATTTTTACTAATATTGTAATATTTTATTTTTTTTTAACTCTTCCACTAAATACCTTGCCTGTGTGTTCCTGTGCGCCTAAGGAAAAACCTTCTATTGTTATAGAGATGACTCAGTTTGAAGCCTGGAGTAAAGGGGCATGGACAGATGTATTCCTTCAGATATACAAGGTAACATTTCCAGGCTTGTTCACTGCTAGGGTATTTTGGTTGATTTATATGAATAATGTATTAGTTAAGGTATAGGTAATGATCCTGATTAAAGAATTCAAAAGCACAGTGGCTCAAATAAGGTAGACATTTTCTTTTTCTTTCTCATGGAACAATTGAGAAGTAAGTGCTTTAGGGATAGTACAGTGTCTCTTCCACGCTCAGTACTGGGCTTTCATTGTGGTACAATTTCTCAGAACAAGGAAGAAAGAACACCTACAAGAGTAGTGGAGGAAAAGTAAATACTGTTTAAGGCTGTCACCCAAAAAGTGTATCATTTCTGTTGGGCAGGATTTACTCACATGATGGTACCTAGCTGCAGGGCATGTTGAGAAATGTAGTCCCTAAAATAGGTAGCTATTGTCATATTCTGGTACTAAAAGGAAGCATTAGGGGCATCTGGGTGGCTCAGTCAGTTAAGCGTCTGACTTTGGCTCAGGTCATGATCTCGTGGTTCATGGGTTCAAGCCCCACGTCGGGCTGTGTGCTGACAGCTCAGAGCCTGGAGTCTGCTTTGGATTCTGTGTCTTCCTCATGCTCTGTATCTCTCTCTCTCTCTCTCTCTCTCTCTCTCTCTCTCTCTCTCTCAAAAATAAACATTAAAAATAAACAAATAAAAGGAAGCGTTCATTAAAGAATGGTTGATAGTGACAATTATGGTTTCTACTTCTAGTACATACTAGACTCTTGCTATAAACGTTATTCTGGGGAGATATGCACTAGGAATCCACGTCAGTAGGTAAGGCCAGGTTTTGAGGAGACTCTCCAATTTACCTCATGCCAAGTTGCATTTGTAGGTAGATTAACATAGCATAAATTATGCCTTCACATTCTGCATCTTTTTTGGATAAACAAAAAAGTCCTGAGAATCATTCCCTAGGCTTCTAAATGTGGCATGACAGATCTTGCCCACTAAGACTCGTGGGGGTTTTTGCTTTGTCTTCACAGATCGAAACCATAAGTAGGGTGAGCTGTGGAACAAGGGAGTTAAAATGAGGGAGAAGTTAAAAAGAAGCAGCAGTCACTGAAAGGAAAGGACAAAATTAATAACTAGATAGTGTGTAGTTTATGTAAGACTCTTGTCATGAGATGCTTTTGAAAAGTTTATTTTATTTTATATTTTTTTAAGAGACAGGCTGCAAGTGGGGTTGGGGCAGAGAGAGGGGAACAGAGGATCTGAAGTAGGCTCTGTGCTGACAGTAGCGAGCCCATTGCAGGGCTCGAACTCACCATCAGTGAGATCATGACCTGAGCCAAAGTCAGACGCTTCAACTGAGCCTCACAAGATGCTTTTTAAATGTGATATTGTTTAATCTTCACAAGCAGTAATCTCCAGTTGAGAGACAAGGAAACAAAAGTCTACAGGTATACGTACTATCTTCCAAGGTCACCTGATTTTAGCCATATAAAACCCTCTGATGTAGATGAAGCTTATTTCTTTCTTGTTCTCTGCAGGTACTGAAGCCCCAGGTCCCCTTGCTCCTCCTCTCTGGTAGCCTAAATCTGCCACGGCACCCAGCTACCCAGCCTACCCTCTAGAGAGTTCCTTCTGCTGCATGATTCCTACTTACTCCTCTCCTCTTGTTCTTGTGTCAGCCAGCCCTGCCTTTTTTTGTTTGTTTGTTTGCCAGATGTCAAAGACAGAAATCCTGTTTTTCCTGGAGTAATTCCCTGAAGAATGTACAAGGGCATTCATGACTCTCAGCCAAACTTAGATTTGGAACATTTTCTTCTTTTTTTTCTTAACTCCAGGCTGTATCATCTATAATTTTGCTCACTAATAAAGAGGAGGACCTCTAAAACAGAAGGGAAGAAAAATGCCCTACTTTATGGGCAAACTAGTCCTGACATTGGGTCGTGGGCTTTCTTCACTCATTCATTTATTCACTCATGCATTGATGGATATGTTTACTTCATCTTACCTGTCTTTCCCAACCTATAAGTCTATGAATTTAGAAGACAAGTATTGAGGTGCCTGGGTTGCTCAGTCGGTTAAGCATTTGACTGTTGATTCCCACTCGGGTCATGATCTCACGGTTCGTGGCTTTGAGCCCTGCATCGGGCTCCATGCTTACAGTGCAGAGCTGTCTTGAGATTGTCTCTCTCTTTACTCTCCCTGCTCCCTCTCTCTCTCTCTCTCTCTCTCTCTCTCTCTCTCAGGATAAATAAAAATTAAGAGAAATAAATAAAATAAAATAAAATAAAAACTAAATATTATTTGTAAATTGAGAATTTGGTAGAGTGTCAGCTACATAGCAGATGCTCAACAAATACTTGCTACTTAACTATTAGGGTGCAGGCACTGTACTAGGCTCTGAGGGTGTAAACCGGATACAGTCTTTCTGTTCCAGGATTTTGTGTCCTGGAGTATATAAGTAACTAAAAATCTATAATTACATGGAAGCATGACAAATGCTATGATAAGGTAAGCCCAGAGCACTAAGGATGAGTGCACCTAGAGAAGAACCTACCTTTCCTGTGCCTTGGGGAAGGTTTCTGGGAAGAAAATCAATTTAATCTGACTTTGATCCCAGTCACAAGTTAGATTGTAGTTGACTTTGTAAGCCAAACCAAGGAATCTGGACTTTTTGGATTTTAGCCCAGGGTCAGTACAGAGCTAGCAAAGGATGAGGTTAGCATCCTCATGTTTAAACATGAGGTTGACATAATCAACTTTGCATTCTAGACAAATCACACTCTGGTACAGTGTGGAAACTGTTTGGAGCTGTATTTAAGAGCCTGGTGCTGGGAATACTGGTAGTAGTGGGAAAGATAAGTAAGGGGCAGCTTTTGTAAGTATTAGGAGTAGAAAACAGTAGGACTTGGTTAGTGAATAGATCTTGGGGCGGGGGGTGAAAGAGAGAGGTAAAAGATGACATTGGGTCTTGCTGGGGTGACTGAATGGAATTTGATGCCAGTTACTGAAATAACAAGGCAGTGGGGGTACTAACAGGATTTTGTTGGGTGTGGAGGATGAGATAGGGTAAGAGGGCATAATGAATTAATTTTGGTTGTGCTGTATTATGGTGCCCTGTGTCATTATGAAGTGGGTATATCCTTCAGTCAGGAAAGAGTTCTGGGTGGCAACGTATGTTTGGGATTGTTTGCTGATAAAGTCATAGGAATAGATAAGATTGCCCAATCACACAGAGCTGTGATTCTCCATGTATTGTGTCTAAAGCATGGATAGCTCTAGAAGCTCCAGTAAATCAGAAGTGGATTGGCAATTTATCTTGTAAAAGCAAGCAGTGTTGTTGATGGGAGTTTCACAGGTTGGAAATAGATTGTGATTTTCACAATCCCTTTAGGTTCTTATTTTCTCCTTCCTAAAGGTCATGTATGCATTCCATGGCTGACTTTGTCAGTTCTCCTTGGCTAGTAGTTTGGATAACGGAATATAGCTTGTCTCAACCATTTTGATTTTGTGGCAGTTGCTTATTTTTGCTTGTTAAATTTCCATGTTTAATTATTGCTATTTTCTTCCATTATATTCCTAATTCACAAAAATGTATTGATGGCTAAAAATGGGTCATTGAAGCACAAGAGAGATGAAAAACAATAACACAAACACTCAAATTCAGAATGCTGTTTTAAATGTAAATATATAAATAGGGCTCTCATGTAGATATAAAGGATACATCTGTATATGCTGAAAGAAGTGCATGTGCTATTTTTACCGAAGAATCTGGAAAACAAAAAGGTAATTAATAATATCTGAATAAGAAGTTTAGGTAAAAAGTTTATTCATTTGTTCCCAGTGTCCTGTCTATCATAAGGGTTTTTTTTTTTTAATAGTGGCACAATTCTGTAAAATATTTTGATATTTTTAAACAGACAGCAGTAATCTTTCCCATTAATTAAACACATTTTTCCCAATTCAAAACTTCTGTTATAAAGTTGGAGTATTGCTAGTATTGCTAAAGGTAGGCAAGACCCCAGTTCTACTGAGGCATTATTTAGAATTGCATGCCTCTGTAGAAGACAAGCAAAGATAGCACAAGGGATCATATTTGTGAGGAAAACTGAAAATGAGCTTCAGTTAAATGTGATTGGGAAGAGTAAAATTGGTGAAGTTCTTCTCTTAAATGGCTTTACGGGATGTCCCTTAATGTCAGTGGCATATAGTGTGGAAACTGTTATTCTCATATGTGGTAGCAAATATTGCATGCTTTATTTGGATATAAGGGAGCATACGAACACATTTGCAGGTGTGTGATAAATACATGTGAAAGAAGTAAATGATAACGTTTTGTTCTCTTTACCAACGAAAGCCCATGCTCTTGGAAGAGTGATTCTTTGTCATTAATGTAAGATTAATTTGTAATGTAACCTGGAGGAAATCTGTTGGTGGTAGATATTGATAGACATTTAGCCATTGGTCACAAGAAAGGGTGTTGCAAATGAACCCTTATTCATAGGGAAATGTAGGTGATTAAAAATATGCTTCAGTTACAAAGTCATTTGTTAAAGGAAATAGAAAAAAATATAAATACTGTTAGGCTACTGAGTTACCTAATTGCTTCACGATCTCTGTCAATTCAAGGTGTTTCTCTCCAATTTTGAGATGTGCTAGTTATGAAGGGGAGGTCACTCTCACATGCATTTTTCTTTTTTTTT